GTCTAGTGTCTGAGTGTCTAGTGTCTGAGTGTCTAGTGTCTGAGTGTCTGAGTGTCTAGTGTCTAGTGTCTGAGTGTCTAGTGTCTAGTGTCTGAGTGTCTAATGACTGAGTGTCCAGTGTCCGAGTGTCTAGTGTCTAGTGTCTGAGTATCAAGTGTCTGAGTGTCTAAGTGTCAAGTGTCTGAGTGTCTAGTGTCTGAGTGTCTAAGTGTCTAGTGTCTGAGTGTCTAAGTGTCTAGTGTCTGAGTGTCTAGTGTCTAGTGTCTGAGTGTCTTATGTCCGAGTGTCTAGTGTCTGGTGGCTAGTGTCTAGTGTCTAGTGTCTGGTGGCTAGTGTCTGAGTGTCTAGTGTCTAAGTGTCAAGTGGCTAGTGTCTAGTGTCTAGTGTCTGAATGTCTAGTGTCTGAGTGTCTAGTGTTTAGTGTCTGAGTGTCTGTGTGTCTAGTGTCTGAATGTCCAGAGTCTGAGTGTCTACTGTAAAGTGTCTAGTGTCTAGTCTCTGAGGGCCTAGCGTCTGAGTGTCTGAGTGTCTGACTGTCTAGTGTCTAGTGTCTAGTGTCTAGTGTCTTGTGTCTAGTGTCTGAGTGTCTCAGTGTCAAGTGTCTGAGTGTCTAGTGTCTGAGTGTCTCAGTGTCAAGTGTCTGAGTGTCTAGTGTCCGAGTGTCTAGTGTCTGAGTGTCTAGTGTCTGAGTGTCTGAGTGTCTAGTGTCTGAGTGTTTTAGTGTCAAGTGTCTGAGTGTCTAGTATCTGAGTGTCTAGTGTCTGAGTGTCTAGTGTCTGAGTGTCTAGTGTCTGAGTGTCTAGTGTCTGAGTGTCTTGTGTCTAGTGTCTAGTGTCTAGTGTCTAGTAACTAGTGTCTGAGTGTCTAGTGTCAAGTGTCTGAGTGTCTAGTGTCTGAGTGTCTAGTGTCTGAGTGTCTATGTGTCTAGTGTCTGAGCGTCTGAGTGTCTGAGAGTCTGAGTGTCTGAGTGTCTTAGAGTCTGAGTGTCAGAGTGTCTAGTGTCTGAGTGTCTAGTGTCCGAGTGTCTGAGTGTCCGAGTGTCTGCGTGTCTAGTGTCTGAGTGTCTAGTGTCCGAGTGTTTATTGTCTGAGTGTCTAGTGTCTAGTGTCTAGTGTCTAGTATCTAGTGTCTAGTGTCTAGTGTCTAGTGTCTAGTGTCTAGTGTCTAGTGTCTAGTGTCTAGTGTCTAGTGTCTAGTGTCTAGTGTCTAGTGTCTAGTGTCTAGTGTCTAGTGTCTAGTGTCTAGTGTCTAGTGTCTAGTGTCTAGTGTCTAGTGTCTAGTGTCTAGTGTCTAGTGTCTAGTGTCTAGTGTCTAGTGTCTAGTGTCTAGTGTCTAGTGTCTAGTGTCTAGTGTCTAGTGTCTAGTGTCTAGTGTCTAGTGTCTAGTGTCTAGTGTCTAGTGTCTAGTGTCTAGTGTCTTGTGTCTAGTGTCGAGTGTCTAGTGTCTAGTGTCTAGTGTCTAGTGTCTAGTGTCTAGTGTCTAGTGTCTGAGTGTCTCAGTGTCAAGTGTCTGAGTGTCTAGTGTCCGAGTGTCTAGTGTCTGAGTGTCTAGTGTCTGAGTGTCTGAGTGTCTAGTGTCTGAGTGTTTTAGTGTCAAGTGTCTGAGTGTCTAGTATCTGAGTGTCTAGTGTCTGAGTGTCTAGTGTCTGAGTGTCTAGTGTCTGAGTGTCTAGTGTCTGAGTGTCTTGTGTCTAGTGTCTAGTGTCTAGTGTCTAGTATCTAGTGTCTGAGTGTCTAGTGTCAAGTGTCTGAGTGTCTGAGTGTCTAGTGTCTGAGTGTCTAGTGTCTGAGTGTCTATGTGTCTAGTGTCTGAGCGTCTGAGTGTCTGAGAGTCTGAGTGTCTGAGTGTCTTAGAGTCTGAGTGTCAGAGTGTCTAAGTGTCTGAGTGTCTGAGTGTCTAGTGTCTGAGTGTCTGAGTGTCTAGTTTCTGAGTGTCTGAGTGTCTAAGTGTCTAGTGTCTGAGTGACTAGTGACAGACACTAGTGTCCGAGTGTTTATTGTCTGAGTGTCTAGTGTCTAGTGTCTAGTGTCTAGTGTCTAGTGTCTAGTGTCTAGTGTCTGAGTGTCTCAGTGTCAAGTGTCTGAGTGTCTAGTGTCTGAGTGTCTCAGTGTCCAGTGTCTGAGTGTCTAGTGTCTAGTGTCTGAGTGTCTAGTGTCCGAGTGTCTGAGTGTCTAGTGTCTGAGTGTCTAGTGTCCGAGTGTCTAGTGTCCGAGTGTTTATTGTCTGAGTGTCTAGTGTCTAGTGTCTAGTATCTAGTGTCTCAGTGTCAAGTGTCTGAGTGTCTAGTGTCCGAGTGTCTAGTGTCTGAGTGTCTAGTGTCCGAGTGTCTAGTGTCTGAGTGTCTAGTGTCTGAGTGTCTAGTGTCTGAGTGTCTAGTGTCTGAGTGTCTAGTGTCTGAGTGTCTAGTGTCTGAGTGTCTAGTGTCTGAGTGTCTAGTGTCTGAGAGTCTAGCGTCTGAGTGTCTAAGTGTCAAGTCACTCAGAGTGTCTGAGAGTCTGAGTGTCTGTGTGTTTAGTGTCTGAATGTCCAGTGTCTGAGTGTCTAGTGTCAGTATGTCTAAGTGTCTAGTGTCAGTGTGTCTAAATGTCTAGTGTCTGAGTGTCTAGTGTCTAGTGTCTGTTGTCTGAGTGTCTGAGAGTCTAGTGTCTGAGTGTCTATTGTCAGTGTGTCTAGTGTCTGAGTGTCTTGTGTCTGAGTGTCTAGTGTCTGAATGTCTTGTGTCTTATTGTCTAGTGTCTGTATGTCTGAGTGCCTAGTGTCTGAGTGTCTGAGTGCTTAGTGTCTGAATGTCTAAGTGTCCAGTGTCTAGTGTCTTAGTGTCTGAATGTTTGAGTGTCTAATGTCTGAGTGTCTAGTGTCTAAGTGTCTAGTGTCTGAGTGTCAAGTGTTTAAGTGTTTAGTGTCTACGTGTCAAGTGTCTAAACATCTAATGTCTGAGAGTTCAGTACCATGGATATAACAGAGAATACTGTTTCGCCATGATATCCCCATGCGTTGCCATTCTTGAGGACTCAGGTGTTATTCCTCGGTACCTTGTAAATTATACATATTAAAAATTATAAGCATATTTTATTCTCTAACTATATTCTATGAAATTGTATACTATATTGCCATCTAGAAGTTACATACCTCTAAAAATCCACGCGTGTAATGGTAGTAGTCAATTTTATAACATATTTATAGTTTATAAGACACATTACATTTTATGTGTTGGGAAAAAATATATGAGTATGATTATGTTATTGACCTATATTAAAACCACGCGTCAATCATCGTCGGCCAAAAACTAGGTTAGATATATGGTAGATAGTTTTTATAATGCACTATTTTATTATATCTATTAAATGTACTATATATGTTCCTATATGTTCTCCTTTAACCAAAGGTTGTCTGTAAGAGATTGCCCTAGCGATAAGACCGCCTTTTGTACCTTTATGTATATATTTTAATCTGTACTTCATGCTACTGTATTTTACTTGAATTGTTTATACGACATTATTTATTTTTATGTCTTTGGTACAATAAAGAGCCAACATCATCGTCCTGCCCTTATCCCAATTATTATTGGGGGTCGGCGTAATCTGTTTTTTATTCATATTACAAAGAGATTTGGCTTACAGTTTTACGACCAGCCGCCTGCCTGACGTCAGCCCTCTTTGGGAATATATATTTTGTAGTGTATAAATACAGTAAAATATAAACGAAAGTAGCAAAACAGAGAATGAGATAAGGAGAGGTTAGGTAAACTAAAAGTGGAAACAGTGGTGTAATAAAGAGTTAAATAAATAAATATTAGGTTTACCAGAGGGAGATTTTGTAAAAAAAGTCGTTTGCTTGGCCACCTCTGTCCCATTCATGTTTCTACCGTGAAACAGTTATGTTTGCATTACTGTGTTTCGGTTCGAAGGGTGGGATATGGCAGTGATTTTACAGGGTACAGAGGAATAACACCTGAGTCCTCGGGAATGGCAACGCATGGGGGAAACAGTATACTCTGTTATGTCCATGGTATTGCTCATGTCTATAGGCGACGGTTACCACTTTCCATCAGGTGGACCGTCAGCTTGATTGCCATTCTAAGTTGCATAAAAAAAATTATGGTATGATTTAATGATAACACGTGCATTGTATAAGTATTATATATCGCAACAATTTTTTTTTTTTTTTTTTATACTATTTAGGTCTCTCTCCCTAATTATAAACAGCCGAGATGAGACGATGGCGCGTTTATATCTGTGACGGATAAAAATATTTTACGAAGCGTTAACCTTTCTCGAAATAATTTGTCTCGTAACATAGTGTTGGGGGGGGGGGATTGTTAGTAATGCGGACTACCAGTCCTATTGCTAGCAATATACTGCATCAAGTCGACCTCTATGTGGTCCCTCGTGGATATAATCATGTTGGATTCTAGGTGTATAGGCTAACTGACCTGCCTTTTCATTCTCACCTGTCTTTCCTCACTGGTGCCCCGTCAGCGTATACCGTTAGCGTAGGCGGGTTTACCATTCTATTATCATCCATTAAAAAAAAACCAAACATGCTATTTATGTATATAGGTGACTTTTTTTATGCATGATAATGGAATAGTGACCCCGCCTGCACTAACAGTATAAGTTGGCGGGGCACCAGTAAGGGATGACAGGTGAGGGTGAATAGATAAAGGCAGGTTAGTTAAGCCATTGTGACAAATTCACTAATGAATCAATCACGATAATTTCCAGGGGGAACCGCGAGGACGCCGACCTGATAGGGTATATTGCTAGATATGGGGTTACTAATCCCCATTTCTAACAATCCCTTTCCCCCCATATAGGTGACGGTTACCACTTTATACCAGGTAAGTCCTGACGACTTGCTTGCTTGTTATTCTATCATAAAAAAAAAAGAAAAACTAATTTCACGTTTACAGTGTATGTAAATAGTGTGTAAAATAAGGATAAATTTATTTATTTATTTAGTGTAATAACTGGGGTAAAATGAACTAGTGTGATTGGCAGGTATCGTGGTCACGTTTTACCTGGTGTTCTACGCGGTGCTGGCAGTCCTGTTCGCCGTGTGCATGGGCGGGCTGTTCCTCAGTCTGGACCCGAACAAACCCACTTATACCCTGAGTAGCTCGCTTATAGGTACGTACCAACAGTTTTTATCTCCTCCACCTCCCCCCTTCTCAATAGAAAATCCATATAGCACTATTTTGAAATAATACTAGACGTATTTGTTACCAACTTGCTGGAGTTTCGTCGGATGGCCATCGAGTGTTTGTGTTCAGATAGTTAAAATATAAAATGTTATTTATATTCTTGTTGTATTTTTTTTTTTAATGGGCGATAATGAAATGGTAACCTCGCCTGTTCTGCCGATATACGCTGATGGAGCTCCAGTGAAGGATGACAGATTTAACCACGATGGTTTCCAGTGGGTACCGCGTGGAGGTCGCCTAACTACACAACGCTGGTTTTCAGCTAGCCCCTTTCTAAACTCTTCTTTACTTTGAGAAATACTTGTTTCTCTCTCTCTCTTTCTTTCATCGTAGTTCTTATCTTGGCTAAATTAATTTAAATTGATTTTGGTTTTTTCTGCTTATTCCAGGGGCTAATCCCGGTTTGACGTATCGTCCACTCCCTTGGAAGGGAACTATATTGCAATACAGTACGGACAAAGAGAACTCCACTGATATGTACATAAGAGAGCTTGAAGAGATCATGGAAAGTAAGTATCATAATATGTTCATCATATCCTTTAACTGTCCACTGCTGAACACAAGCTGGGAGGTGTTGCCAGTAGTGGGAGGTGTTGTTAGTAGACACTTGGTAGGCAGATTGGCAACCGCAGTTAGACTTTGGTGACATTTTAAGAGAGACGCTGCTGCCCATCCCTCGATCATAAGTTCCTTTAGTCGCCTTTTACGACACCCATAGAAAAGGAAGGGTTGCCATAATGTACATTTATTACTCAGTATGTGGGAGAAATTATATTGTAAGTTTCAGTTGAAACATTAAAACGATACAAAATTCTTATTAATATATTAAAAGAATAAAACAAACAGTGCATAATGGTTCGTAATTATATTTGTCTTTACTTACTTTGATTTATATCTTAGTATACTCGTAGACTTATATCAAGTTTTTATTTTGAAGTCATTGAAAATTATCGCCATTTTAATTAATACGTATATATTAATGTGTAAGCAATACGCATATATGTATATATATTTATAAAAATATATCCCGATTTTTTTATGCAACTTAGAATGGTAAACAAGCTGACAGCCCACCTGATGGAATGTGGCAATCGTCGGTTATAAATGTGAACAACATCGTGGACATAACAGAGTATACCTTGATACCCTTTATGCGTTCCTGAGGACTATGGATGTTATGTCTCTGTACTCTGTAATTTCATTGCCATATTTCGTTCTTCAAACCGAAACAGCCATGCAAACACAATTGTTTCACGGCTAAAACACGAAAAGAACAGAGGCACCCAAGCAGACGACTTTTGTACAGAGTTTCCATTAGATTAAATTTCAAATAAAAAAGAATTAGAACTAATTTGGGAAACGTTACATCCAATTACTTGCAACACTGAAAAATGGCGGGTTTTATTTTAATTAAAAAAATATGTCTTAAAATTTAGTTAGCCAAATGTCAAATTAGATAAAAAAAAAATGTTAATTTGTATTAGAAATTCAGTGTTTATATTTAATCTAAGCCTATCCAGTTTAGCAAGCATTATTTTATTGGTCTAGAAATTCTTTTTAAATCTACAGATAGTCTCTATAGATACTTGATAGAATGTAACTATGAAATTAATCTATGTATTTAGTTAGGCCATAGATTCAACACAAAGAAATGAATTGAAATAGACAGGTATAAACCCAGTCCTTTTAAGGAATCGATATGTTAAACAAGTGCCCTACATCTATCGATTTCCAAGCTCACCACACACGATGCTTTAGATATCAGTTTACATTTACGAAGAAACAAGTGATTAAAACGGAATGTACGAAGGTACATACTAAGAACAAGGAATTACATAGAAGGAATGATAAAATAAAAAACAGTAAATCATATAGTTGCCTCCTTTCTTTTTATGCAAATATAATTAGTAAAAAGAGAACGAAAGATACACCATTAGTTGTCATTTTTCTAAATTTATAGCAGGCTAGTGTATAGAAAATGTTTGATATATCAATTATTTGTCAATGACAAATTTTAGATTACTAGATTATATATCCGACACAGTTTATGTAGAAAGTATGCAAGCAGGTTGTATCTGAATTTGGTAGGGTTATACGGTCGTATAACATTTTCTATACACTAGCCTGCTATGAATTGACAATTTTATCACTCCTTCTATATAATTCCTTGCTCTAAGGGTACATATAAATTCTTATGTATATAATAATAACAACCCATTATACTTGTGTATGGGTGTACAAAGAATGGTCTACTCTGTGCAGTGTGTTTAGTAAACTATATTAGGTTTATACAATAAAAAAAAAAGAAAACTGTAAGAATAATAAAATTAATTAAATGTATTTAAGGAGTCGTCACTGTTAGACATTGACAAAACCAGAGATTAAAAAACATATATCATAGACACACAGCGAATTGATTTAATTTATAATATTTTTCTAATGCTATATCTTTAATTTTTATGATTTGGTACAGCTTGATGATCACATAAGTTCGTAATTAATATATTTTTTTTTAAAAACAACTAGTATTTTTGCCTGGTAGTCTTGGCTGAAATTGCATTTCGAATAGGCGGTAAAATCATAAAAAAATGTTTATTTAAAAATGCATTCACTTTAAGTTAACCTTGAATAAAATTTTCTCCCTTTCATTTATGTCCCACTATTGGACACTAGTCTCTTACTATATTGCGAGCTTGACCTTGGTGTTGTAGCGGTATAACACATTGTCTCGCCTTCCGCTGGTCGCGGGTTCATTCTCCGCGTAATAAAAACATTTGTATTCAAAAGTATATCTGTTTTATTGGTCTGGACGATTACCAGATATAATATTGTATATATAGGTATGCATACACAACAGCGTCGCTTTTAAAACGTCACTGAAGACTAACTACGGTTGCCAAAATGTCTGCCAATATGGCTACTTCTGGCATAAATATCCTTAAAAGGAGGCCTATGTCCAACAGTGGACAGTAAACGGTTCATTTAATAAATAAATAAATAATAATAATAACTACTTGGCTCGCGATGTTACTGAAATGTAACGGGGGTGACGTCCACCGAAATCATTCCAATCATTCTGTCGGTGAACGGTCTTATCCCAACTAGACTGGAACAACATCTTAGACGGTTGGGATTCCGAGGTGGCTCACTCCCGGGAAAGATGCAGAAAGCGGTGCTCTTAGATACTGTCCGCATTGTATGCCAGTTTCCTCCCTGGGGCCCTGAATCTCGACCAACTTTGCTTCTGCCGAGGGTCAGTTTTGCCATCTCTTCTCCTTAAGAGAAATATATACATATTGTCATAAGTAAATAACTAAGAATTAAAATTACTGGGTTCGCCATGCTTCGCACGTTAGTACACCCATTTAAAAGACGTAATTATAATAGTATATTTACCTCTATCGTCTGCCTACCCTCCAAATTATCTATCTCGAATTATTTATTTTATTTATTTATTCATTAATACAAAAAATTTACAACAGCCGACTACATTGGAGCCCGCACTAGGCGAATTTGTATCGCGGGAGTCCATCTGAGATTAACAAGACACGGTGATTTACAAATATAAATTAAATTAAAATACTAAGCCAGTTTTACGAAAGCAACAAGTTAGAATGATAATATTATAGATAAATAGATAATATCGCCAGGGTTTTATTGCAGTGTATTCGCATGAAACATGGCGCGCGACAGTCACTGAATGTACGAGCGACGACAGCTTCGGACTCCCATACTCGCCGTGCATTTTTATCAAGTTAAATAAGGTGACATAGTTTTATTGAATGCAATTGTGATCTCTTGAACTTGTCCAATGTAATTTGCTTTTTTTTTAATTGCACTATTGCGAATACTAAAATAAGTACCCACTTTTGTAAAAAGTCTCTTAGTGAGACTTTATACGAAAGTCGATTGCTTGGGCACTTCTATCCCATTCATGTTTCTACCGTGAAGCAACAACTGCTTTTGCACGGCTATGTTTCGGTTTGAAGAGTGGGATATGGAATAACACCTGAGCTCTCAGGAATGGCAATGCATGGGGGGGTATCATGGGCGAAACGGTATACACTGTTATGTCCACAGTACTGCTCATGTGTATAGGCGACGGTTACCACATTCCATCAGGTGGGCCGTCAGCTTGTTTGCCATTCTAAGTTGTATAAAAAAAATTATTCATCTCTACTCTATAGTGTTTTTCAGAACTGTTTGTAAAATTTGTCACTACTATGTTTACCACCGTTCTACTGATTCCGAGCGCGTGCACCGAATGCACCGAATGCACCGAATGCACCGGCCGTACCCCCATTTAGTTAATAATAGCTGTTAACACTAATACATGCCTAGACAATGGCGGACCGTCATAAACGTAGCGGGTAGTCCGTGCATATTAATACAGCGCAACGCTCACCGTACTACCCTGCAAATTTTTATATTCATCGCGCGGTCGGAACGCCCTCTGTGTGACATTAGCCTTTACTACGAGACTGCCTTATTGCTGCTCTGTAAATCTTATTGTAATATATCTATTTAAAGTAAAACAAAAACTGATAAATATATTAAATACTATACCTGCACTAATTGGAGTATTTTTTTTTGATGGGTGAAAATGGTATGGTAACCTCGCCTGCGCTAACGGGATACGCTGGCGGAGCACCAGTGAAGGGTGATAGATGAGAACGAAAACAGGCCAGTTAGTCCATCGTGATGAATTCGAACAGGAATTAACTATGCTAGTTTCCAGGGAGAACCGTTAGGAGGTTGACCTGGTTGGGTATATTGCTAGCAATAGGATTCTCAGTCTCCGTTACTAACAATCCCTTCCCCCCAATTGGACTATTTATTAATGTTGTATCAAACATAACTGATTAATGGGAACAGCTTAATGTTGTTTTCAATCCAGTTTCTGTTTATAAAAAGGGTATATAATAAATATATAATGGCCATAACTAAGTGCTTAATCTTTATTCTTTTACCCGCGTCTTCGGGATATGCTGATTAATAGGGATATAAATAGGCTATGTTCTCCATCCCCAAAAAGTATGAAGTTGTTTTGGTTATTAACTGCTATTGATTGTCCATTGCTGAGCGGGGGGGCGAGGGGGATTGTCAGTAGTTGCCACGCTTGACAGGCGGGTTGGCTACCGCAGTTAGACATTGGTGATGTTTTAGGAGCGACGCTGCCAATCTCTCGACCATTAAGTTACTTTAGTCGCTTCTATGCTAAGATATATATACATATATGATAATATGATATATATTTTATTATATATGGCATGGGAGGTAACATGGGCGAAACAGTATACTCTGTTATGTCCATGGTACTGCTCATGTCTATAGACGACGGTTACCACTTTACATCAGGTGGGCTGTCAGCTTGTTTGCCATTCTAAGTTGTATAAAACTCCATCTGCGCTATCGGTATACGCTAGTGGGGCACCAGCGAATGGTGATAGGTGAAGATGAAACCAGGTCTGTAAGCTCATTCATGCCAGATTCAACAAGAATTAATCACAATGGTTTTTATGGGGATTCGCGTGGAAGTTATTCTGAGAAGGTATATTACTAGCAATGGGGATTAAGGTCTCATTATTAACAAACCCTCTCCCCCCTTAAAATATTAGTATTAGAAAGGATTTTAGTCTTCTCATTCATCCGAAGAGTAAAATCTCTCCATTTGCAATATAAACTGTAGGGGGGCGGGGGGAGAAGGGATTGTTAGTAATGCGAGCTATCAGTTCCATTGCTAGCAATATACCCTGTTAGGTTGACCTCCACGCGGTTCCCCCTGGAAACCATCGTGGCTAATTTTACTGTAACTCCGCCAGCGTAACCCGTTAGCGCAGGCGGAGTTACCATTCCATTTTCACCCATCAAAAAAAAAAAAAAATTTATATATATATATATATATATATATATATATATATATATATATATATATATATATATATATATATATATATATATATATATATATATATAAACTGTAATATTACAGATATTCGACTGGGTGCCAGAATACTACGACGACGCCAGCAACTTACCCGCTGACATGCCTGAAGACCTTCAGGATCACATCAGGAGTTACGACCAGGCAAAGGTATATACATAAACTACCTTTTTCCCGCGGCTTCACCCGCGTGCATCAGTATATGTGTAATTTACAGGGTACAGAGGAATAACATCTGAGTCCTCAGAAATAGTGACGCATGGAGGGTATCATGGGCGAAACAGTATACTCTGTTATGTCCATGATACTGCTCATGTCTATAGGCAATGGTTACCACTTTCCATCAGGTGGGCCGTCAGCTTGTTTGCCATTCTAAGCTGTATAAAAAAAATACATTGCATTCAAGATTCTCCAGTAGAGGTGGGCAATCAATGTGATTATTCACTAACTATCTATTACTTGTACAGCTCAAACAAGTGTGGGTTTCGTGTGCTGAAGAAGGCTCCAGTACGAATTCAAGCAGAATACAGTACCCGTGGGGCAGGGCGCTGCTGGGCAGGTATCCGTTCCGGAGCCAAGTCGACCACCCGAGTCCGATACTGGCTGTGAAGTTAACGCCGCCAGGTAAATTGCTGCTTTATTTTTCCTCTATCCAAAAATGCACCGCCTACGTATGTCTCTGTTTGTCCAATGGTTGACTGGTAGAGAACACCGTCCGATGTTAAGTCCGCCATATGTACATAGAATTTCACTGTGCATTAAAGTTTAAATAAATAAATAAATTGTTTTTTTTTTATACCACTGAGGTGGCAAACAAGCATACGGCCCACCTGATGATAAGCGGTTATCATAGCCTATGAACGCCTGCAATACCAGAGGTATTACGCGTGCGTTGCCGACCCTGAAGAAACCTTTTTACCCCCCTTTTGAAGAACTCTATGCTGTAGTCTCTTGGGAAAACCTCGGCAGGTATTTTCCAATCGGCTTCAAAAAAACAGTAGCTTCTCAATTCGATTGTATTTTTTATGTTTCCCATCCCATTCTATCAGCTGTTAATTGCCCATTGCTGAACATAGGCCTCCCTAATAAAGTGGGGGTTTTGCTAATAGTTGCCACGTTTGGCAGGAGGACTGGCAATCGTAGTGTGAGTTCAACGCATACCTGATCTGTTTTGTTTGTTCCAGTGAACACTCTATACACAGTTCGATGCAGGGCGTGGGCTAAAAATATAATTTACAACAAGAGCTTGAAGGACGCCTCCGGGTACACTCGGGTCCAGATCCACATAGAGGGCAACACGGCACCCGTCACTGAAGACCCAGAGTCCGTTGCGACATAACATACAAGCCATACAACCCGGTTTCGCGCGGGTGAAATTATATGTTTCTACTTATTTAAAAGATATATTAAGATGTATTTGTACATATAAATCACACAGTAAAATACCAGTTTAATCAATATTAAAGTCCGTTGTGTTGTATAGAGGATGTAAGGTGGAGAAATAGACAAATGCGACTTTGTTTTATACAATATAGAGATTAATTTACAATGACCTGTACGGAAAAGGGACATTTTGTCTGCTGATAAAATTTCTTTTTACACGTGACGTGAGACAATCCTCGGCGGACATTTTTGTTCGGTCACAGTGGAACATTAAAAATAGCATGCTGTACAAGATTTTGTCCACGCTTTGTGTGTGTAGTCGTAATATATATATGTATATTATTAAATTAGTGATCTTACCCAGCTTCGCACGAGTGGACAGAATTTTCCAAAATCAATACATATAACAAAAAAAAAAAGTTTCAGCCGAATCAACTGATCGGTTTTTTTTAAAGCATTTTGCATGTGATTCTTTAGATTGATATAACTTTTTCACTTATGAACCGATTAAAATAAAATAAACAGTAAATGTTAAGTGGAGCAAACTGTAACGCATTAGTGAAAACCGCATTCAAATCGGCTAAGCCGTTATGGGATTAGCATGCACGAACGTACAGACATATAGACAAATAGACAAAAATTCTAAAAATCATTATTTTGGGTTTTACTGCGTTCATAAAGCCCCCCCTTATAAAATAGTTTTTCTTATGTATCTTTCATGGATAGACAGCGATCAGTTACTATTTTATTATATGTATTGATTACATAATTATGTAATAGAGACCATTCTATTTGTTTATGATAGAAAAAAATCTATTTTTTTTTTATTGTACATAGGTATACCAAATGAAAATCAGTATTTGTACTTAAAATTATGGCGTTCGAATTTTTTGTATAGAAAAATATGTGTGAATATGAAATAATTACATGAAATGATTATTTGAAAAAGCGAATATTATTTTAATAATTTTTTGCAGATAGAGTACTTATATATATTTTTTTTTTATAATCGGTGAAAATAAAATGGTCACCAAACAGGGGCACCGACAAGTAAGGGATGATAGGTGACGATGAAAACAGCTCAGTTAGCCCATCGTGACGAATTCCACTAGAATTAACCACGATGGTTTCCAGGGGGAACCGCGTGGAGTTCCACCTGATGGGTGTATTGCTAGCAATGGGGCAGTTGGGCCCCATTACACAATAACTATATAATAACATTTCCTTGCCCCTCGCCTATATCTATTATAAATCGGTAGTCTTAAATCTTGTGTTCAAAATTTTTGAAAAGTAAATTGTAAATGAAATTATGAAATTTTCGAAATTCGAATAAAATATAATAAAGTTATTGTAGCAACATTTGGAATGTAAGATTATTATGTAAAATGTCAAAGTGAAATGTTTAAAAAGTTTTTTTTTTTAATTTTAAAAGTTTTTACCCTCTTCAAGTACATCAGTCCTATTGTACTATTGTGTCAACTCATGTCTAGTTCAAAACTGTTTGAAAATATTTACGTTAATATCTACCTACATAAGTATTTCAAGGTGCGACCACGTATGAGAATTTTCAGAAATAAAATTAATCAAATTATATCGACGATGGTATGTCACTATTACAGAATGTTATAAAAAGTATTTATAAAAAGTCGTCAAGCTTGCACAAGTTCGTACTTTTTTTTACAGTAATTAGGCTGTGGGGTTTTGAGGTATCAGTTCCTTTTGGGAAAGGGGTTTCTTGTCCAAAACAGTTTGAGAATCTATGATACTAATTATCGTGTTAATTCCCTTTTTTTTTTGTAAATATTCAAATATTGATAAATGTTTAATCGTTTTTATAGAATAAATAATGCAGACGTTTCCTCACATATACATGTGTAGGTACAAACTAAATTAGTAAAATGTAGTTAGTTGAAGTGTAATTTTGGTAGTGAGGTTAAAACAAATTATATTACATTATTCTAAGCAACTGGTTGACTAAATATTTACCTTATCGTGTTGGATATTTATTTATTTATTTGTTACAAATTACGATAACAGTTTGCGAACAGAAATGAGCATGCCATCAAATTACCAAAGGGAGACTTTGTACAAAAGTTGTTTGCTTGTGTACCTCTGTCCCATTCGTTTTTCAACTGTAAAGCAGTTGTGTTTGCATGGCTGTGTTTCGGTTTGAAGGGTTGGATATGGCGTGAATTTACTGGGTACAGAGGAATAACATCTGAATCCTCAGGAATGGCAATGCATGGAGGGTATCATGGGTGAAACAGTATACTCTGTTATGTCCATGGTACTGCTTATGTCTATAGGCGACGGTTACCACTTTCCATCAGGTGGGCCGTTAGCTTGTTTGCCATTCAATAATTATATAATAATAATTTCATGAAAAAAAATAACCAAAGTTTGTTAACCTTATATACTAAACATCTGTAGCAGTAAGTTAGAAGAAAACGTTATATGCTTTAATATTGTATTTAAATGACATTTATCTTTTATTTTAGTTATTATAAAATTAAATAATATTCGTACATGTAAAAATAATGATATGTACTTATTTAGTAAAAAATAAAATTGTTTTCCACAGAAACACTGACATCAATTATGATAAAACCAGTTATTTTGATTTAAAAACTAAACTACTAAATTGATTTTTATAAAACTTCTACGGGACTAACCTGTATGTGTACGCATTCAAATAAAACTAAAAAGGATTTGCTAAATCGGTTTAGTATTTGGGGGGAAGGGATTGTTAGTAATGCGGACAACCAGTACCATTGCTAGCAATATGGTGTATTGTCAGGTCCAACCCCACGTGGTTCCCCTTGAAAACAATCACGCTGAATTCCAGATGTATTCGTCACAATTTTCATCCTCACCTATCACCCCTCATTGGAGCCCCGCCAGCGTATACAGTTAGCACAGGCGGTGTTACCGTTCCATTATCATCCATAAAAAGAACCTGATAGTTCAGGCATGGTAATCATTCCACTTTCATCGCATTACAAAAAAGACTCCATTACTAATAACTTTCAGTTAAACCTATTAGCACGTGACAATTACTCTATTCAGTAAATGAAAACCTCCAGTTAATTGTCAGTGGAGGGCTGGGCGGAGGGCGGCACGTCACGCCGGTTGTCGGCAGATTTGGGCGGCGCGGAAACGTCATAGACTATCTATGGAATATCTCTACATGTACCCAGTCATATTTTATATTTAATGCCTACATCGTCATATCAACCATCAACTGTCCACTGGCCACATAGGTTTTTCCCCATAAGGGGAGTTTTGCCAGTAGATGCCACGCTTGACAGGTGGGTTACTAACCGTAGTTAGGTTTTGATGTTTAGAGAGGGACGCTGTTGTCCATCGTTCGACAATTTATTTTCCTTAATCGCTTCTTACGACATCCACGGGAAAGGAAGTGGTGGCCTATTCTGTGTCGGGATCACACCACGAATAATAAAACCATATTGCAATAAAAAAGCGGAAATGAATATAAGTATTTAAAATAATATGTTAGTAATATAATAAAATTAAAATTAGACGATGTTTTTGTATAGGAAATATTGAAATAAATTCGACACGAAGAGAAGCTTATTCCTTTTTAAAAGGCCCCCAGCACATTTGCAATGCGTTTGGTGTTGCGGGTGATCACGGGCGGCGGTAGTCATTTATCATTTATATATATTTTGTCAATTATTCAAATTGGAAATTTTACACTGAAGAAAGAGATAAAACAGTCTAACAGTTAAAATATGAGATTTTATGAATAAAGGTTACTTCATATAATTAAAACACGTTGTCTCTCAGAGACGATAAAGGTGTAGGCACAATATTTTCCTGTTGGAGCGCAGCGATCATTGCGAAGCTGCCTACTAGAGTAGTCAGTTAGCGGCGGCGGATCAGGCACGATGGGCGCGGACAAGCCCAACGGCGTGGTGGACTATTGCAGGAGACCGCCGCAGAGGCCGTTCTTCCAGCAAATACAGTACGCCATTTGGAATCCAGAGGAGAGGACCTTCCTAGGGCGCACCGGGAAACGATGGGGTGAGATTATTTTTAATATTATCTGAAAAAAAAATAAGATATTTACTGTGATTATTCACAAAAAAAAATATTTTTTTTTTGTAAATTTTGGTATAATTTGAAACAAAAAAAAATTTATTTGGAAATAAAAATAAATAAATTTATATTAGTAATCGTGTTGAAAGTTTAAAATAGCGAATATTTGTCTTACATCTGGTATGTTTTTAAAACTTTATTTTTTTAACCGACTTCGTAAAAGAGAAAATTTTCAATTCCATGTCTCTTTGTGTTTTTTTTTTCACGATATCATAGTAAAATAATTATAGTAAAATAATTATAAATAGTAAAATGATTATTAATCGAAAGATTTTTTTTTATAAAAATATTTACTTTCGTATTTGTTCGTAAATATGTTTAAAAAAAAAATAATAATAATATTGCCATACAATTTAAGTAAAGACAATTTTATTTTGAAAGGTACATAGAGTATATATAAGTTACATTAAGTGCCAACAATTTACACTTACAATGTAGATTTTTGTGCATTTACAACTTTTCGAATTTCTTTTCGAACTTTTCGAGTTTGAATTTTGATTACAAAATACGTTGCATACAATTTTTTTTCATGCAACATGGATTGGGGCATATAATTAATGACCCATCTAATGGACAGTAGTGGGGGGAAAGGGGTTGTTAGCAATGGAGTTTGACAGCCCCATTGCTAGCAATAATATTAGGTCCATCTCCACGAAACCATGTGAACAGTTTTTGTTGAATTCAAAGGGCTAAGAAATATTCATCCTTAATCATCCTTCATGGTGCCCCGCCGGTGTATACCGATAGCGCGGGTGGGGCTACCATTCCATTATCATCCATAAAAAAAGAAATGGAAAGTAGTAAACGTCGCCTATAAACATGAACAGAGTCATGGACACCATAAAATACATCGTGATACCCATACTTCCTTACTAATAATATACTAGAGAAAGGGTGAAGGGGTTGTAAGTAATGTGGATTATCAGCCACATTGCTAGAAATATGCCCTGTCAGGTCGACCTCCTCGTGGTCCTCCTTGGAGACTATCGCGTTGAATCTCAGGTATATTTATTACGATGGGTCAACTGATCTGCTTTCATCGTCACCTATCATCCCTCACTGGTGCCCCGCCAGCGTAATCCGATAGCGCAGCCGGGGTTGCCGTTTTTCATTCTAGTATTATTCATTAAAAAAAACTTTACTATATTCTACTCACGTGTCGTCGTTTCTGGAACTTAGTTGTTAAGCCTTCGTATCCCGTAAATTTATTGTTATGTCTCTTTTCAAACCATAAAAATGATATGCAAGCATTGCTCTGTTTTGTAACCAAAGGGAGAGTTGGTACAAAAGTCGTTTGCTTGGATACTGTTCAGTTGTGTTTGCATGGCTGTGTTTTAATATGACAGTGAAAACAGGGTACAGAGGAATAACATCTGAGTCCTCAGGAATGGCAACGCATGGGAAGCATGGGCGAAAAGTATACATGATGGTACTGGTCATGTCTATAGGCGACGGTTACCACTTTCCATCGAGTGGTCCGTCAGCTTGTTTGCCAAGTTTGTTAAGTTGTATAAATAAAAAAAAAAAATAACAAAAACACAAATGGGACAGATGTAGCCAAACTGATGACTTTTTGTACAAAGTCTAAGAAATATATTGAAAATTGCTACACATACATAATTATGAATAAAATCTGTTGTCGGTAACCATTAAGAATTGCAGGATCAATTTAAATAAAATTTTATATATATATATATATATATATATATATATATATATATATATATATATATATATATATATATATATATATATATATATAGGCATGATTATCAGTTCATCATCTTCATCATCATCACCTATGATCTGTATCGTTGCGTATTGGTATTATAGTATATATTCGTGTATTTATATTTGCATGTGTATTTTTATGATATATATATATATATATATATATATATATATATTTGTATATGTAAGTTACGTCTATAGCTGTTTATCTACAATAATTTTCAATTTTTCACTGCTTAATTACATTTCTGTTTTGCCGAAGGTTGACTTTTTCTTTATACAATTTAGAATGGCAAACAAGCTGACGGCCCACCTGATGGAAAGTGGTAACCGTCGCCTATAGACTCCGTTACTAACAATCCCTCCTGTCTCCCTTCTCCCCACGAGTGAGACATCTTGAAGGAGCGGCCGAGCCCGTCTACTGTACAATAATTTTATATACCGACGGAACTTTCCGTAACATCCGACCTTGATCTGGCACTTTTTTAATTAAACTTCGCATATCGATTGCCACCCTCTATACGACTCATGGTGTCACAGTGAAATATTGTAATGCTTTTAAGATGTTTCAGCAGTCTGCGAAGTGAACAAATGAATTGATTTGATTATAAGACAGTCTGCTGGTGTTCCAACGGTAGTACAAATAAAAAATCGATTAATTAATAAATGAATGAATGGTTTATTTTCTCTTCACAAAAGGTAGTACAAAGTGACAACTTGAGGTACAATTAAATATTTGAGACCAGTTGTGTGAGAGACTGGTGCTTGCGGTAGGTTTTGAAGAACCTATGTTACAAGTCACCAGTGCCCCATCACTACATTAAAAGCGAGTAACATGGGTTGTAGTTATTTTATACTGAACAAAGCAGACAAAATAGAGGGAGACTTTGTACAAAAGTCGTTTGTTTGGGCACCTCTGTCCCGTTCGTGTTTCTACCGTGAAGCAGTTATTTTTTTTGATGAGCGAAAATGGTATGGTAACCCCGCCTGCGCTAACGGGATACGCTGGCGGAGCACCAGTGAAGAGTGATAGATGAGAATGAAAACAGGCCAGTTAGCCCATCATGATGAATTCATCAGGATTTAACCATGATAGTTTCTAGGGAACCGTGAGGAGGTCGACCTGGTTGAGTATATTGCCAGCAATGGGATTCTCAGTCTCCATTACTAACAATCCCTTTCCCCCCAAATATAAACAATTATAAGAAATGATCACAATGAGAAAACAATGGGCGACCTTATCGCTAAAAGCGATCTCTTCCAGGCAACCTTTGGATGGAGAGGAGTAATTATAAACAATTTGATTTAATTTAAAAATAATTATTTCATATGTGATAAAACATACTGACGAACGTCGAGATGTTTTGTTTACATTGGAAATATTTGTATTGGGAATGCGGAATCGTGTATCCGAGAATTATTTATTTATTTATTTACGTTCACATACAACTTTTACATTTTACATGCTACATAATCAATAACACAAAAAATAATTTTGCCCAATGTAAAAGTCTTTTATAGGCGAACACCACATGCACTATTATAATATTTAATAATTATTTACAATGACAATAACAATATCCGAATAATAAGTAGATTAAGAAATTATGTCTTAAGATTTTCCTCAAAAAGTTAAATCTGCTGTTGATGGATCCAAAATTGATGTCAATTTGATCGCTGTGAGCATTTAGAATCCTACATAATCTGGGTACAGGCGAGTTGGCTCCTAACACTGTTCTTCTTAACGGAGGACATAAAGGTGTTATCTGTTTCCGAGGTATTCTAGAGATCGAGAATAATCGGGAATTCATGAAATACATAGTGATCACAGCTTGAAGATGAAGGTCTTTCCACTGCGTGTTGCCAGTGATGACCTACGGAACCGAAACATGGTCCTAAAAGGGGGAAAGGGATTGTTAGTAATGCGGGCTACCAGTCCCATTGCTAGCAATATACTCTATCAGGTCGACCTCCCCGTGGAAACCATCGTGCTGAAATCCAGGTGTATTCATCACGATGGGCTAACTGACCTGCCTTTTCATTCTCATCTGTCACCCCTCACTGGTGCCCCGCCAGCGTATACCGATAGCGCCTTGTTGTAACTCCATGGAGTAGGAGGTTGATCTACAGTGCATATATTTGTACGAGATTGTCACGCTAAAACCTTTTCTTTCTATCGATTGTAAATTTTTCTAAGCTATACGATCGTTTTTAATCTTATTTCTTACAAATTTTACATAAAGTTACAAAATTTTTTTTTTGATGGGTGAAAATGGTATGGTAACCCCGCCTGCGCTAACGGGATACGCTGGCGGAGCACCAGTGAAGGGTGATAGATGAGAATGAAAACAAACCAGTTAGCCCATCATGATGAATTCATCAGGAATTAACCATGATAGTTTCCAGGCAGAACGGCGAGGAGGTCGACCTGGTTGGGTATATTGCTAGCAATGAGATTCTCAGTCTCCATTACTAACAATCCCTTTCCCCCCCTTTCTAAATATGTTTAGTTTTTTATCACTCAAACATCTTTAAACGGCTGAACGCAAATCTATGAAATTTGGCACACAGATAGACAATATCCTGACTAAGATAGCGCCGTAACCATGGAGAATGGCTCACTCCATAAAGACGGTGATGTGAAACCGTAAAAAACAGCATTGGAGTAGTAAATCTAATATCGTACTTCATAAATGTTGCTAGCTACACCGCGCGCGAACTAATGCCATATGCACTCGTATCTACCTAACAGTGAATCATGCGCGGACGGTGGTTATTTTAAACGTATACCAATCATAACTTACCGAGAAAACTCAGTAAATCTACACAGACGTATGGAAAGTGGTATTCTAAACATAGCAAGAACTAGCACATTATAATATTGAAAAGTGTATGTATTGGTATATACACACATACACACACATATATATATATATATATATATATATATATATATATATATATATATATATATATATATATATATATATATATATATATATATATATATATATATATATATATATATATATATATATATATATATATATATATATATATATATATATATATATATATATATATATATATATATATATATATATATATATATATATGTAGTTCTTTTAAGGTCAGTTAGCCAGTTAGTTACAGTTATTAAATTCATCACGATGGTTTCCAGGGGGAACCGCGTG